TTAGGCCTGTCAGTCCATCATAGAAGGAAATTACTTTACAGAACTTCCAAACCTCATGGAATTAGAGACACTGATTGAGGGTTTGACTTTAGTGCCTTTCTTACTGGCAGAGTTAAGTTTATCCATCTCCAATTATTAGTCATTCTCCCTGCCCCCCGCCTTTTTTTTTTTTTTAAAGATTAGACACAAATATTTACCCTTCCCTCAGGTTTTCAGGAACTTCCTATGGCCTTTATGTATTCTTAAACCCAGGTAATCTGGCTATAGCAGTAAAGTGACTTGCATTGTATGAAATTATGTTATCTTGATGTAGAAAGGAAAACTAAATCTTAACCTTTTCCTCAGTATTCAGTTAAATATCAAATGGTTATCTAGGAAGGGTATTTAATTTTAGGTTTATAAATTATTTTTATTTTAACAGAACTTCTGACATTCATAGGCTAGACAGTAAAATTTCTATATATGTATCTGCAGGAAAACATGTACTTTAGTGGAAGAATACTTGTTAGCACAGTGCCTTACCTAGATAAGGCACTCATCTACTGGTACTGGTTGAATGAGTGAATGCACTTTTAACCTGGTGTTAATCTGAAATATGCTGTTATTCCTCCCCTTTTCTTTGTATTAAGGCTAGTGGCTCCTCCTTAATTACAAATAATTTTTCGACTGTATCATTCTTATTTCATTGATGTATTTACGGTTTGATAGATAACATTCACATTTTTCAGAGAGGAAATATATACATTTGCTTGCTAGGCGCTAAGTAGAAGAAAAAGATTTTTTTATGTATCTATAGATAGGGTAGATATCAGATATAGAAGCAATTTATATAAAACATATTGAGGTCATACTGACATTAGAATTTACCACTTTTTATTGTTTAAAATATTACAAATAGTAGGAGGGTTGGGGGCGTTAAGAGATCAACTGAAGGACTTGTATGCATGCATATAAGAATTTACCTTTTTTTGTTTCCCCATTTCTTTTTAAAAATATTTTTATATGTTTTTATTGATTTTAGAGAGAGGAAGGGAGAGGGAGAGATAGATACATCAGTGTTGAAAGAGGATCATTGATCGGCTGCCTACTGCACGCCCCCTACTGGGGTGGAGCCCACAATCTGGGCATGTGCTCTGATCAGGAATCAAACCATGATCTCCTGGTTCATAGGTCCACATTCAACTTCTGAGCCACACCAGCTGGGCTGTTTCCCCACTTCTTATTATAATTTGTATAATATTTTAACATTAAAAAATATCTGATTATTATAAAAACTAGAAAACAGTGAAAAACATTAATAAAAAAAAATCCTTAAGTTCTGCCTCCTAGCCATATTATCTTTTTGTTGTTTTTCTAAATATACTTGTTTAACTGTTAGCCATATTAGTAGTTTTCAGTATTTCACATCTTAAATACCATCTATATATTAAAGAACCAAAGTGCCACAGCAGTAGAAGCAGCCCACATTTTATAAGGACATTTATATTTTTATACAAATTACTAGAGGCCCGGTACACGAAATTCATGCACGGGGGGAGGGTCCCCTCAGCCCAGCCTGCACCCTCTCCAATCTGGGACCCCTCCTGGGGATCGGGCCTAAACCGGCAGTCGGACATCCCTCTCACAATCCAGGACCGCTGGCTCCTAACTGCTCATCTGCTTGCCTGCCTGATCGCCTATAACTGCCTCTATCTGCTGACCTGATCACCCCTAACTGCACCCCCCCACCCCCACTGGCCTGGTCGCCCCTCACTGCCCCTCCCTCGCCGGCCTGGTCGCCCCACGCAGCCTGCTGTTCAGTTGTTTGGTCATCCCTCACCAACCCTCCTGCCTGCCTGGTCGCCCCATGCAGCCTGCTGCTCAGTCGTTTGGTTGTCCCTCACGAACCCCCCTGCTGGCCTTGTCGCCCCACTCAGCCTGTTCCGTCGTCCGTTCGGTTTTGGATGTGATGGCCCCTGGCTCTTTATATATATAGATGTTAGTGCCTTAACAGTTGTTAAAAAAAAACCCCACTTCATATGTAATACAGATTACTTTTGAGCACTCCTGGTGACACTTGACCCACTAGTTGAGTATCACTGGGTAGAATAGTCAAAATTAATGAGCAAGTTTGAAAATCTCCATATGGGCCTTAGATCTTGTTAAACTAGTTTGGATTGCTTTCATATTTGTACTAGCATCGGTGCAGATCCCTTTTGATTTGAATAGAGTTTGCAATTATAATTTTTTAAAATTCATCTGAAAGAATTAAGTCCAAGAAATATTTTTTTAATTCTATGTCATTTTAGTACATAAGATAATTCGTAAGGATTCTCTTCCCCAATTCCCAAACACATGTTGGTTTTCCATGATTACTTTATTATCCCTTCATTTGGTCAGTGATGACATCTTAGTCAATTCTACTTCCAAAATAACATTTTACTCTATCTCTTCAACCCTGAAGTTACTGCCTATTTCAGGTTTTAATTTCTTTTCAGTGTATTGTAGAAGCTACCTGACTACCTGTATTCTTTTCCTTTCCTCTTGTTATATAATGCTGTAGTATTTTCTTCCCATTTCTTCCTTCTCTCCTTTTATTGCAGTTTTCAATAATTTATTTTAGGAAGACTTAAATATACATATACACAGAAAGTGAACTTTATTATATGGAAATAACCACTGTGATCATTATGGTGTCTAGTCTTACAGTTGTTTGTTTTCTGTGTGTATATATGTAATTTTTAAGTTGGGTTAATGTGGGCATTCTTTAACCTTTTTAAAAAACTTAATATTTTGTGAACATTTATCCATGTCTGCCTTATTTTTTTTTCTATATTATAGATTTACTAGAGGCCCGATGCACGAAATTTGTGCAAGAGTAGGCCTTCCTTCCCCCGGCTGCTGGCACCGGCTTCCCTCTGGCACCCGGGACCTGGGCTTCCCTCGCAGCCCTGGCTTTGTCCGGTCTAATTAGCATATTACACTTTTATTATTAGAATATATGCCTTCTTCCTGGACATTTAGTTCTTTAGGTCCTTCTTCCCTCCTTCCTATCCATCCATCCATTCTTTCTGCTATTATAACCAGTATTACAATATCCTTGTAGCTAAATTATTTGGACAAAAACAGTTTCATGGTTATTTCTGAGGATACTAGAGCAATGATTCTAAAACATAGCTCTGATTTTATCTCTGTTATACATACTTCATCTCTTTGTTGTGACCAGTCTGAGCTTTTCATCCTAAAATCTCTTGGTCTATCCTATGCTAGCCTTTTTGACTATACCACTTATTCTTTCTTTAATATATATTTTTATTGATTTCAGAGAGGAAGGGAGAGGGAGAGAGAGAGAGAGAGAGAAACATCAATGATAAGAGAGAATCATCGATCGGCTGCCTCCTGCATACCCCCCCATGGAGATCAAGCCTGCAACCCAGGCATGTGCCCTGTTGGAGAATCTAACCGTGTCCTCCTGGGTTCACAGGTCGACGCTCAACCACTCAGCCACCACAGCTGGGCTACCTCTTATTCTTTTCTCACACTCTACAGCTAACCAGACCTTTACTTGTGGTTTCTAAAATGTCTTACTCGTGGATGTCTGTTTGCCCTCTTTTCTTACCCACCTGGTAAATATTTCTTCAGCTTTCTAGACTAAACTTTCGTGTGAAGTTCTGGATCTCCCTTGGCAGTGTGAGGTGGTTCCTGCTTTGCATCCTGTAAACTCTTCTGTTGGAATGCCAATAGAATAGTTGCAAAATTTTAGAAATTTAATCTCCTTTGCTAGGCTGTGAGCTCCTCAGTAGAAGGGATGTTGTTCTAATAATCTCTTTCTTTCTTGCACCTAACTCAGAGTAGGTGCTTAATAAATGTTTGAGTAAATATGAGGGCTGGGGAAAAGCAAATTTCTAACAAAGGGGTAATAAAATTAAATATATTTTTAATTCACTCCAAAATGCTATGAGGAAAAAATTACTTGATTGAAAAATATTTATGGAGAACATAGGAAGCATAGTATTTGTTCAAAAATAAATGTGTAATAAGTGATTAAGAATGTATAACTGAAGCCCTGACCTCTTTGGCTCAGTGGATAGAGCGTTGGCCTGCGGACTGAAGGGTCCCGGGTTCGATTCCGGTCAAGGGCATGTACCTTGGTTGCAGGCACATCCCCGGTGGGGGGTGTGCAGGAGGTAGCTGATCGATGTTCCTCTCTCATCAATGTTTCTAACTCTCTATCTTTCTCCCTTCCTCTCTGTAAAAAATCAATAAAATATATTTAAAAAAAAAGAATGTATAACTGAAGAATTTATGATTGCATTTAATGTTGACACTAGTTTTATCAACATTTAGAGATTTGAGTGAAATGAATACTTTTGCTTACATTTCTATGTAAGCAAGAATATTTAAGTATTGTGTATTGACAGATATAGGTACAGTGTTTAAAATTTGAGTAACGTAACAGTATCATTATGGCTTTAGTTTTTGTAACCGAATAGATTTAAGAAAAATTAGATTAATTAAAGTATGTTAGAACCGCAAACAAAAATCATTGGAAAGGTGGGATGTTTGGAGTTTTAAAAGACTAAAACCATATTTCTATAGAAAATATTCATTGGCAACATAATTAAAGAAAGAATCCTGTATTGCAGGATAAATAATTGATCTGTTCTAGTAGTCATCTCTTTATGTCCTTGTTTTGAGATTTTGAATTAATTATTCAAAATGATGGATACTTTCTTTTGTTCTTTAGGCTGAAAGTTTCTAAATTCTTTCTCATTGTCTATTTAAATGTTAGGCAGTTTAAGTATTTTGTAATTTCTTTTGCATTAGACTAATCTAAAGTATGCTACAATCAATAATTCCTATGCACATATAGCAAATCTTTTGTGCCAGTAGCTTTTTAAGTTCTTAAAGTTTGCTTTGCTCACTATTGTCTTCTTAGCACTTAGTGTAGTATTTAGTACTGCCATATGACAGGTTTTACTTATTAGTATATTAACTATATTTTTCTTCTTTTTTTAAAGGTAATGTGGCTTTAGATAATCTAAAGATAAAAGAAAATGCTCTGGTAAGTTTTTAAACTATGTTAATTACTCATTTAATTTGGTAAGCTCTTAGAAACCCTTGGTTAGTAAGTATCTGGTACCAGGTGCCAGATAAAGTGGTTGAGTCACTCAAAGAAGGATTGCTTGTTTAATTATTTGCGGTAGGAAAATCTGAGATTAAGATTTAGAACTTTTTCCCCCTGATGATCAAAACGGTATCTCTTGTCAACAGAATATTTTTCATTGACCTAATTTGACTATATAGCTTTGTAGTAGGCCTTTGTCTTCAGAAATATCTTTGCATATTTTTCAGGTAAATAAGACCTTGATTTTAACAATTTAATCTTGAATAATTGTATTTTTGGAAATATATTCAAGTTCAGCCATATAATATTATGGTAATATTAAGGGATAAAATAGCCCTGGCTGGTGTGGTTCTGGTGGTTGGAGCGTCATCCTGTACAACATAAGGTGGTAGATTCTATTTCTGGTCAGGGAAACATGCCCAGGTGCAGTTCGGTCCCAGGTTGGGGGCGCATGCAGGAGGCAACTGATTGATGTTTCTCTCTCTCTAAGATTAAAAAAAGAGGTAAAATAGATTTTTTTCAGACTCTAGCTTCCCGAGAGTAGTTTGTGTCATTTACTATTGAGCTGAAAACAAAACAACACTCTCCCCATTCTCTCAATCCTCTACCCCCTGTGAAGCTTTAGCTAAAATATTAGACTTAATTTGAGTTTATGAAATCACTGAAGAATGATTTTATTCTTTAATTAATAGGTCATATTTCTAATTAATCTATTGAATGTTTTAAAGTTTTGTCTGACTTCTGGTTGGATTTCTACGTGATGAAATGCGTTATTAGGGAGAGCATTATACATTAAATGCCCCCATGACTGGTCCGAGGGAAATTTGGGATATTGAAGATCCTAGGAGTAGAACTCTGTCACAAGGAGTAACATTACATTTTGTTAAGTTTGGCATAGTGGAAAGGGCATGGACCTTGTAGTCCGGAAGATCTGGGTTTGAGTGCTAGCTCTGCCTTTTACCAGCTGTGTGTCTTTTGGCAAGTTTCTAATTTTTTTTGAGCATTAGTTTAATCATCTTTTAAGTGGAGTTAGTATTATAAAACAACGTAATATCTCTCTGCCTTTGTGGCTTGAGTAAGATGGAAAGTGAGCCTGGCAAGTAGTGGGCATTCAAAATATTTAAATGGTCTTTCCCTCCCTTTATATAGGGTGCTACATCTTTAAAAAAATAGTGTTATTGACTTCAGAGAGAGTAAGGGAGAGGGAGAGAGTGGTAGAAACATCAGTGATGATAATCATTGATCCTGCCTCCTACACAACTGCCACAGGGTATTGAGCCCACAACCCGGGCATGTGCCCTGTTGGGGAAATCGCACCGTGACTTCCTGGTTCATAGGTTGACACTTAATCACTGGGCCAACTTTTTTTTTCTTTAATATTTTATTGATTTTTTACAGAGAGGAAGGGAGAGGGATAGACAGTTAGAAACATTGATGAGAGAGAAACATCAATCAGCTGCCTTCTGCACACCCCCAACTGGGGATGTGCCCGCAACCAAGATACATGCCCTTGACTGGAATCGAACCTGGGACCTTTCAGATCGCAGGCTGACGCTCTGTCCACGGAGCCAAACCGGTTAGGGCTGGGTCAACTTTTAAAAATTTATCCCAAAATTTAGAAATTAAGATTCTATTGGTGGTGATTGCATTAAAGCTTATTTTTCTCTTTATTTTAGAAGGAAATAAGTATAAATAGAGTTGTGGTGACAGGATATATATCTAACATACATAGAATTGATGTGAACTCTGTGTTAGCTTGATTTGAATTTTGGTTGTAATTAAATATAATAAAGTATTTTATAATTTATATTCTCCATTAATTTAAATTGCAAATAAACCATATTGGTGAGGTTTTGCTTTAATATGGATCCTTTACACTTATTTTGTGTGAGAAATTATTTCAGGGAGATTACTATGAGCATGAGGCCACACTTTTAGAAGTGTTTAGTTTATAGTTTGTATCCTCTATAATATCAATTCATATAAATTTATTCTCCCTATCCCCCAAGGGTAGAGCTGCTCCTTTATCATAAGGATTTTTTTTTTTTGGTCTAAAAAAAGACTTTTTATCAAAAACTATTAGTATTCTGTTCAGTTCCTGTTCACCTACAATGATTGAGCAATCAGAGATCGGGTAAATTGATTATTTTAGTTAATTGTTAACTAAAGTACTGCATTTCATTTGCCAGATTAAAAAAAATATATATATTTTTATTGATTTTAGAGCGGGAGGGAGAGAGAGATAGGAACATCAATAATGAGAGAGAATCATTGATCGGCTGCCTCCTGCACACTCCCTACTGGGGATTGAGCTGGCAACCCAGGCGTGTGCCCTTGACCGGAATCGAACCCAGGACCCTTCAGTCAGAAGGCCAATACTCTATCCACTGAGCCAAACCAGCTAGGACTATTCGCCAGATTTTGATAGTACAGTCAAACTTCAGTTCTTGAACGTCTCCCATCTGGAACAATTAGGTTCTCGACCAAGTTGTTCACAGAAAAAATGTCTAGGTTGTTGAACAAGCTCCAGTTTTCTACCTGACAGCCTTTTCATGCTGATACATCAGCATGACAAGCATCTCTCAGGCCACAAACAAAGGAGAGAATGCATCTGAGTCATAAACTAACATCTCAGGAATTTGTGCTGTGAATATATGGTGTGTGTGTGTGTGTGTGTGTGTGTGTTTGCTTTTGTTGCTGGTGAAATGGACAATTAGCACAATTTTAAAACATAAAGAGGCCATCAAGAGTGCTAACATAGCCCTAACCTGTTTGGCTCAGTGGATAGAGCGTCGGCCTGTGGACTGAAAGGTCCCAGGTTTGACCCCAGTCAAGGCCATGTACCTTGGTTGCGGGCACATACCCAGTAGGAGGTGTGCAGGAGGCAGCTGATCGATGTTTCTAACTCTCTATCCCTCTCCCTTCGTCTCTGTAAAAAAATAAATAAAATAAATTAAAAAAAAAGAGTGCTAACCTTGCTAATGGCATGAAAGAAAGGCAATTGAAGAGGTAGAAAACTGTTGTTGATTGGGATAAACAAAAAGCAGTCAGCCAGTGACAGCAAGAGAAGATGCTGTGTACTGACCTCCTGAAAGACACCCCTAGAATTAGTGCTGAAAGTGATTTGTTTAAGGCTAGTAGTGGATGGTTTGTTAAATTTAAGAAAAGAAGTGTTTGTTTATAGATTAAACAGTACATTAGACATGTATTTAAGAAAGGTTAAAATGGAATCATTCGAGGATCTGGAATGAATTAATTCAATTTACATTATTTCTAATGGGAAAGAATGATTCAATTTTTGAATAAATTGCTTCTCAAACAGCCTTCTGGAATGAAGTTTGAGAACTGAGGTTCCACCGTATTAGTATATACTAAGGTATATCTAACAGAAAGGCTACTGTCATTGGTTCAATTTTTAATAATTATAAGAACTCAAGTGATCATTGTGAATATCAGTTATTGTTTAGTACTCTGTGCATAAGAAAGTTATTTGTACTTTCCAGTGGTTTGGAATCTAGAAAGTGAAAGTTTATTATTATTGACTGGTAATTGTCAGTAATCTAATGTAAATGCTAATTTGGTAAACACTATGCTGGGAATCTGCCTTTCCTTTTAAGGTTGTTTTATTTATTCATTTATTAAATATTTCATTTGAGAGAGAATTGGTCATTTTTTTTCAACTTATTTATGTGAAAGAACTCTTCCTATTCTAGTATTTCAGATAAACAGTGTTCATCTATTATTTTAAAAGTTTATGAAATTTCCGTCGGGCTTGGTTTGGTTTATTAAAACAATCAGATAACTCAATTGCTTTCTTTAACTACGAACTCTTTTTCTATTTATAATTGTTTCTATTTATAATTTTGCTTTTCTCATGAATTCTTTCTTCAAAGTCAAAGTTTAAGTTAATAAAACTATTTGTTTCAGCCAATAAACATCCTTTATGAGTTATTTAAATATAGAAAATTTATTTCATGCTTTTTCTTAGAGATGGTTGTGTATTTAAGCAATGATACAGAGGTGATTTTTTATGGAGAGCTTTAATAATTTAAGATGTCTTTTAACTTTTTTTTCTTCTCTGCAGAGTGAATTGGATGTTCCTTTTAAAGTCAAGGCTGGCCAAATTGGTAAGCACTTCACTCTTCATTTGACTTATTTTTAGTCCTTTTAGTTTTATTTTTCCTGTGTTATTTAATCTAAAACATCTTTTTTTTAAAATTTTGAATAAAAATGTGACAGTTATTTTGGTTATGTTGATGAGAGCTTTTGTAGTTCTTAACCCAATATATATTATGTGGTAATACATATATACTTTGAAGATTTTGACAGTAGGCTAGAGATTTACCCTCTAAAATGGAAGGACATTTTGAAAACAATTTTTATGTATTTATATATCTTTTTTTACTCTATCCCTCCCACCCAGCCTCCTAACCCCTAACCCCCTCACCCCGACAGCTGTCAGCCTGTACTCTATAAATCTATCTCTATTTTGCTCGTTAGTCTATTTTGTTCATTAGATTCCATATATGAGTGAAATCACATGATACTTGTCTTTCTCTGACTGGCTTATTTCACTTAGCCTAATGCTCTCCAAGTCTATTCATGCTGACACAAGGGTAAGATTTCCTTCTTTTTCATGGCCCAGTAGTATTTCATTGTGTAAATGTACCACAGCTTTTTTTATCCACTCATCTACTGGCTACTTTCGTATCTTGGCTATTGTCAATAAAGCTGCAATGAACATAGGGGTGCATATATTCTTTTGAATTAGTGTTTTGGGTTTCTTTGGATAAATTCCCAGAAGTGGAATAGCTGGGTGATAAGGAAGTTTGAATTTTTTTGGGTAACGCCATACTGCTTTCCACAGTGGCTGCACCGGTCTGCATTCCTACCAACAGTGCACAAGGGTTCTCTTTTTTCCACATTCTCACCAGCACTTGTTTGTTGATTTATTGATAGTAGCTATGCTGACAGGTGTGAGGTGATACCTCATTGTAATTATAATTTGTATCGCTGTGATGATTAGTGACCTTGAGCATTTTTTCATGTCCATTGACCATCCCTATGTCCTCTTTGGAGAAGTGTTTATTTAGGTCCTTTGCCCATTTTTGGATTGTTTGTTTCTCTGGTATTGAGTTGTATTAGTTCTTTTGAAAATTAACCCCTTATCAGATGAATCATTGGCAAATACATTCTCCCATACTGTGGGTTCCCTTTTTGTTTTGTTGATGTTTTCTTTGCTGTGCAAAAACTTTTTAGTTTGAGGTAGTCCCATTTCTTTGTTTTTCTTTTGTTTCCCTTGCCTGAGAAAATATATCAGAAAAAAACAGTGCTATGAGAAATGTCTGGTTCTAGCATCCTCACTGATGACTTTGGTGGTCGTAGGCAATTAACTCGGGCACTGAGTTTCCTTCCTTCCTTCCTGCCTTCCTTCCTTCCTTCCTTCCTTCCTTCCTTCCTTCCTTCCTTCCTTCCTTTTTTCTTTTTTTTTCTAAAGAATTGAAGTAATAGCTGCCTCATTCTTCTTACAATTGGAATATTAAATAAAATAATAGTTACCAAAGTGTGAAAAGTATAAAGCATAATGTGAATAGTCACTTCTAAAAGTAATATAATATGGAAAAGATCTTTATAAACTTTAATGTTGAAATTTTTTAATTTTTTTTCTGAATGATATACTTACTATATGCATGAATGGTTTTGTTATACGTTTTCCTCTTAATGGAAAGTGAGAAATGTTTATCTTTTTGAGCAGCCAAATAAGAATTTAAATTTGAAATTATGTTTCTTCAGATAAATTAACTTTGAAGATTCCTTGGAAGAATCTTTATGGAGAAGCAGTTGTTGCAACTCTGGAAGGATTATACCTGCTTGTTGTTCCTGGAGCAAGTATGCTATTTTAGGCTGTAATCATTCAGTAATATCACAGTGAAATGGAATGTGACCTGGGTTAACTATTTTATATGTTTAATAAAATAGAAGATAATTTAAATAAACTAATCATATACATACATATGCACATAACTACATATATTTTACATGTACACACACATATATATATTACCACATTTGTATCCTATATAATAAAAGCCCAGCAACCGAACGGAGGAACGACCAGAATGACTGGTAGACCAGTTGCTATGACATGCACTGACCACCAGGGGGCAGATGCTGAATGCAAGAGCTGCCCCCTGGTGGTCAGTGCACGCTGCTTGGCTGACCAGGATGAGCGGTGCTCCCACAGCATGAAAGAATAATTTAAATCATTTGTGTTAGATTGATTCTATTCTGTATGAATAATTATTTTGCAACTAAGGCTTTCTATTAAGTTAAGATGCATTAGGCAGATTTATGCTGGGGGAAGTGAGATCTTAAAAATGCACTGATGTGGTAATCTATAGATTTCAATATTGGAAAAAATTTTCCCCCATTTTGTTGCTTCTGATTTTGAATGAATATTCTCTCAAAAATGTATGTAAAACAGGTAATTCTTAAATTATAAATTATAGTATTTTAATATTTTAATGAATGTTTTAAAGCAGTGGTGTTTATTTAAGTAATACCTCTCATTACTAATTTTTTTTAGTTATAAGAACAATATAATGTTAAGGACAGTCTGGATATTTTAGGGAAAAATTGTTATATTTTCTCCACCATAAAACAAAGTTTTTTTTTTCTTTTTTGCTTTCCAGTCTTTACCACATACATACTTGATTTGATATAGCATTTATCACATTATATACAACATGGATCTGGCTTTTTTACTTTATATACTTTGATATGTTTAAGTTTTCATGATGATAGTGACAGTTTTGAAAGGCTGTATGATATTTCATTGTGGGCTGCCTGCTGTTTTTGCTGTTACAGTGCCTTTTTTTATTCTTTTGTTAGGATACAAGATCAGAAATGAGATTACTAGATAAAAAGGATATATATATTCATGATTGTTGATATTGATTCATATTTTTAAATTACTTTCTATAAGTCTTCTTATCAATTTGTACTGATACCAGCTGATATTAGATATTGCATGTTTTTTGTAGTTAAAATTTTACCACTCAGATATAATAACTGGACATTTTCTGATGTATTTTCTGCCCTCCCTCTGCTTCTCTCTTTTACTTTTCTACTCACCTTTTCCCCACTTATCATTTTTCATATCTTTTTTTCCTCCATTTTAATTTCATTCTTCCCTCCTTTCCTTTTTGATATAAGTTTGTAAATAAATAGAAATCACTTATGGTTAAACTTTTTGTAAAATTAATCTAAAGTCTATAACTGTTCTTTTACTTACAAAAAATGACACATCACACACACAATCATGAGGCTGAACTTTTCCTATTTATTTATTAATTGCATTTCTTTATTTGTGAATTAACTATGTATTTTTAGGTATTAAATATGATGCTGAAAAAGAAGAAAAGTCTTTGCAAGATATTAAACAGAAAGAGCTATCCCGAATTGAAGAAGCCCTTCAAAAGGCAGCAGAGAAAGGTACTATAAGTTTAAGATAAACTTAGATATACCTATATTTTAGATATATTCAGTGCACTGTAAATAGGAAGTTTTCATAAACCTTCATAAATTATAGTGTCAAAGAAAGAGTCTTCTTTTAAAATCATCTCAAAATATTGATTATAAATATTTTAATGATTCACATTTTTCTGTGATTGTTTTATCTCATTGCTAAGACATTTCTCTTTGGTCTCTCTTAAAAGGTATGACAACTGTTGAGTTAGAAATAACAGAAATATTTGGATATAATAAGATTTCTTTTCTTAGCTTAAGCTGCTGACATCTATCTAACTGAATCCAGAAGAAATCTATCTTTAAAATAGCTTGCTCATTAAAATTTGTCTTTTTTTTATGCCCAACTGGTGTGGATCAGTGGTTGAGCATTGACCTATGAATCAGGAGGTCACGGTTTGATTACCAGTCAGGGCATATGCCCGGGTTGAGGGCTCGATCCCTAGTGTGGGGCGTGCAGGAGGCAGCCGATCAATGATTCTCTCTCATCATTGATGTTTCTCTCTCTCTCTCTCTCTCTCTCTCTCTCTCCCTCCCTCTCCCTCTCCCTTCCGCTCTGAAATCAATAAAAAATAAAAATAAATTTAAAAAAATTTTAAATCAGTGATTCTAATTCTTTTTGTCTTAAGGGTTTTCTTTTATATAGAATTATTGATTCTTTTACACAAAATTACTAAAATACTTAAAATATAGAGACAATCTTAATGGAAGAAATAAAAAAGCCTAAAAACGTTTTCCCTTTCTTTTTCATACGTAAGCATATTTTGTATTTCTGCTAAGCTTAAGAATCTGTATTTTAATGACAGTTTTCTGTACTTTTATTACATTTATGTGCCATATAAAGCAAGGTGGGAATGGTTTTGTATTATGACAATTCAGTGTGATTATTTTTATTCAGTTTTAGTTAATTAGTATATGTGGAAATAGTGTTATAAAAAATGAAGAGAAAGACATGAATAGCATTAGAATTTAATTTTTTTTCTTGATACAGTTCAGATTAAATATGTTTTCTGGATACATATGTACATTGACATATACTTAGATATATTGATATAACATAATTTATAATATCTACACTAATAAAAGCGAAAGATGCAAATTAACCATCACTCCACTACATCCACAAGCCACGCCCACCAGCCAATCAGGAGCCAGTATGAAAATTAACACAACTAAGATGGCCGCAGCCACAGAGCTGGAGTGAGCAGGAGGCTTGGGTTGCCCCTGGCGATGGAGGAAGCCAAGCTTCCCGCCTGCCCTGGCCGGCCCTGGGCTCCGCTCAAGGCTACAAAGTTTCAATTATAGAAGATAAATAAATCCCAGATACCTGCTTCCAGGCCACCCTGGGGGAAAAAAAAAAAATTAAAGGAGAGGCTGGGAGCTTGGGTCGCCAGGGGGCGTGGCCAGCCTGAAAACAGCCATTAGCCCCTCACCCAGGCTGGCCAGGCACCCC